ACAACAGCACTTCAGGGTCTCAAAACCCATTTAAAAACAAACATTAGAAATGCGATATTTAAAAATCAACTTTTTTGTACTTCCTTACATTCATTAGGAAGTTTAGTCTTGGTTTTCATTTTATATATTTATTGAGAACAGAGCACCTTCATCTTGAGAATGTATACAACCATTAAAGTTAAATCCAGTCCTGCTACGGAGCATGAAATTCTGTTTCATGTACGTTTGCTCTATTTTAGTCTATAGCACTTATTATCATCTGTTCTTGTTACATTTTTTATTTCAATTTGAGAGCAGGTACTTCTTATTAACTGACCAGATTAGAAAAAATAATCATGGCAGACACTTTAGTCCATTCTTCTAATAAGCCTGTTGATCTGGTCCTCCTGTTGCCAGCATCTTTACCTTCTACAAAATGAGTGGTCTTTTTCTTCATTCCATCTCATGGAGAGTATGATTTGAAGGACCACAGAAAGTTTTCAACAGTGTAGATCTCATGAATCAGATCCCCCATGCAAATGACGCCATATTTACCAAGAGATCGATCAGTTAAAGTGTTATCTGTCAAAGCAATTCGCTTCTTATTAATTTTGCCATAAGCACACTTGTAGATTAGTTCATTTACTGACTTCAGATTTGGGTACTCCCATGCAATATATGGTTCTACAATCCTCAGCTTGTTAAATGAAGGCTTATTGAGCTTCGCAAAGGTTCCATTGAAGATTTGATGAAGGCAAAGAAGCTGCAACACCTTTCAGACCTTTGGCCTCGCACCATTAATACATCTGATCCTCATGATGAATGCCTATTTGGGTTCTGCAGTTATATAAAAGTTGCCAGCTTTTCTTGTCATCCTAGCCATTTGAATTTCAGTTCTGTACACCTGTCTATATTCCTTGTGATAGTGCTTTGCTGTTTCATAGATAAGCTTTCTCTTTGTTTTTTTGAAGCATTCTGGAGCAAACTTCTTTCTCAGGTGTTTGATCTTCAACTTTGCGAAATTCGTTTGCTTTTTCTTAAGGGTTTCTGGCACCACAGAAACCTTTTTCTTCTTCTCTTTAACACCCTCCATGGTTCCAGCCAGAAAAGAGTGTTATTACTTTTTAACTTGTTTGTTTGTTGGTGGCTTTCTTGCTCTGACTCCAGAGCATGAGTTTAAAATGACAAAAAAAAAATTATGTTATTGTCACCATTGTAGCCCCAATGCCTAGAAGAATGCCTGACACATGGTTGGTATTCAAGAAATTTGTTGAATAAGTAAATGAATGAACTCTGCATCCCTAGAAATTCTCCCAGCCAACTTGTTTCTCAGGAACTTCAAGCTCCCTTGAACTGGATCTATTCAAGAAGTTCCAGGTTCCCAATTGAGGAAAGCGACCCATACTTTTGGTTTTGCTACCACCAACTTGAGGAGGAAAAGCAACAATGTGAGGAGGAAAAGCAACAATGTGAGGAGGAGACAACTTACCCTGGAACATCATTAGAAGGCATGAGGGCTCTTTGAGACTACCTTCTCATCTACAAGGTCTGAGCTGCTGGATGACAAACAGGAAGGAAAGCTGTCTGCTAGCGCCACACAAGACATGCCAACTTGAAAACCTACTTGACTTCCTTCACTGCCACATTTTAGGCCTTACAACATTAGACCTGCTCTTCTGAGGTCCTAAGCTCAGTATCTCTCTGGATATTTGGGAAAGAAGAGCTTCATTCCCAGGCCCTCAGAGACAGAAGGAAGTAAAACAGTAGGCAGTATACAGTTCTTAAAAATCTGCATACAGTGGAGATTTTTGATTCCGTAGCCTGTGCTCTTTTGGTTACTTGCTCATAAAATATAAAAAAAACTGCTTCGTATTTTATAAATAATTTCACCAAATCCACCAGAATCAGGAAACATTTGGGGGAAAGATTCCATGCCTATATGAAATGAGAGCACAAGCTCCCAGTCACTGCAGGTGGTTTTGGAAAAGAGGGCTGTCTAGAACAGGTGGTATATGTTTTGGTCTCAATGGAACACAAAATGAGTTCAAGGGAGCAGGACAAGAAAGTCTGCAGTGCAAAAGCTCCACCACAAGGCAAGAGAGGCTGAGGCTTAAGAGATGATTTACCATTTATCAGGACAACCATCTCTTCCAATCCTGATCCTACTTCAGACAGTCATTTGAATTAACCAGACTCCTTTTCTAAGATGCAAACACCAAAAAAGATTAAAAACAGTCAAGGAGGGAAAAATGAGGGATCAATCATTCACACCTTAATGTAAATCTGTTCAGCCTCTCACTGTCTTGCCAGAGCTTTATGTGTTGTGTTTTTGTTCAGGAAGAAACAATATTTCTAGAGAGGCTGGGAAGAGATGTTGGAGAACACAAAGACCACAGGAAAATAAGTAGAGAGCATGAAGTTTGGGAAACCGTATTAAACATAAGATACAGGGATTGGGGGTGGAGACAAAAGGTAGAAGAGGGCATGTAAAGATGTGAAACCAACAGCTTCTGTCCCCGTGTTTCTGAGGACCTGGCCTAGGATATCATTAGTGACAAAGCTTCTCTAATTTTAAATGTAGCCTAGGGCTGATCAAGCTAGTCATAATCAGAAAATGCAGAGTTTGCTGTCATCTCATGGGGAACTAATGCACTATATGGTGCTTGAGATACTAACGTGACCTTCCCTGAGAGTTACAGGCACGAGCATGATATTCAGAAACTCTGTCTTGCTACCTCGGAACCATCACCTGTTCTAGGTATTAATCTGTTAGCCACTTAGCTCCACATTTTTCTTATTGTTGTCAGATGACCTGTTTGCACCAACTTTTCCGAGGCTTCCCAGTTGTTGTCCTAGAATATTTTGTCAAATCCTAGAAATTGAAATTTGAAGTCAGCTTGGCTAGCAACCCCAAATAAATCAAACCGAAGTTAGAAAAATCAGGAAAGGAGGCCTTTAGTCTTTTATCTTGATCCCTAAAAAGTTACCAATTTGCCATTTGCCAATTCTTCATTAGTCTTCAGATAGCCTCAGAAATTAAGCACTGAAATTAATTTGAGAGCAAATATATTCTAATAATTCCTTTTTGAAAAGATGGAGGGAAGATAAAGGAGAGATGCCTTTGAGTGACCACAAATAAAGAAAGTTGAATAATTGATTAAAATATAACTGCTATATAATTGAAATATATTTTATTACATTTAATAAACATTTAAAATCCAAGTTGCAATTACAGCTGAAAATTTGCTTTTACTTTTGATGTAACATAGTCACTTTTATAATTAGTTATACATTACATTCTCTTGGTTACATTGTTAATGTGACGTTTTTATTATTAGCAATTTATATTAACTATAAAAATGAAAATTAAAAAAGTGAAATATAAAAAAATTTAAACATGGAAATTACACAACAAGAAACATTTAATAATATATTTTATTTCAACTTAGTTAACATCCCATTAAATGGTTTGGTGTCATAATCATAAAATTTTATAATGTTAAGACGCAAGGGCACAAAAAAGTTCACATATATTTTATAGTTACAAGAAATGAAAAAAAAATGAATACTGAAAGAAACAAAAGATTATTCATACTTCTATTACTAATTTGATCTTACCATATAGTCTAACAACTGAGCTGAACTTAACCTAATTTCATTTAACTGAACCTAATGCCTTACGTATTCCATCTATAGCCTTTTCTCATAAGACTATATAATGCGTAATTACTTTTAGAACTTTCATTTGGAAAAAGTAATGCTAATTTTGAGAATTTTTTTACTGTTGTTTTAGCATTTTTTCAATTTGTTCCTAACCCAGACACAGATTTTACAGTTTTTAAAGTTTCATTATACTCATAGATTTTTACGTAAAAGTCTTACCATTTTTAAGTCTGCATGTCATCAGAAAGAAAAATAAGTTAATGAGTTATAAAAATTTGCTTATTGTTTTAGAATTTTATTTTTGTTATTGTTCTGTGCATCTTAATTTTTTAACCACTTTCTGGCACAAGTTTCTGGTAAGCAACTTACAGGATACATTTTTCCTGGAAGTTTTATTTAAAAATTCTTAGCATTTTTAAATTGCCATGTTATCCAAATATTTTAAAAATTGATTAATGCACATTTAAAATGTCTTTGTTGTTTTTCAGGGTTTAACATTTAATTTTGGTTTCTGTTGTTGCTGCTGTGTATGTGTGTATACCATAGTTTATTTCCACTGCTTGGGACTTGAGCACAAATGTAACATCTTTCAAGCTCAGAAGTTACATTTACAAGTTTTAATATTCTTAAATACACACTTTAGTTTTAAAATAGTAAGAGTTTTAAAGATTTTTGTTGTTTTTGTTGAAGTAAATTATAAAAAATGTTTTCTCTTTTTTTGTAGATTTTAAGATACTGTTTTTAATTGCTTTTAAACGGGGTGCCAGTTTAGCTGCTCCCTAGCTGCATTGTGATCCAAAACATCATATGAATGTTATAGTGTTTTGTAACATTTGCAGATGGTTGGAAAATGCAATCTCTAAAGTTCATTTGTGCTTATTTGTTTTACAGCAGTTTGATTTTTGGCTTTTTTTCCCACAATTTGTCCTTGACCAGGAGACAAATTTAGCCACTTTGTAGCTGCATTGTGCTTCACAATTTCATGCAAATAACATAGTATTTTTAAATTTACAGAGCCTGAACAAATGGTACTGAAAATGTTACAAATTATTTTTGAGTTTTTTTATTTTTATTTTTATTTTTCATGGGGTTCTGCAGTTTTTGTTGTTGTTGTTGTTGTTGTTGTTGTTGTTCTAGTTTGGTTTGGTTTATGTGTTGTTGTTGTTTTTTTCTTAATTAGCTTCCAGTCTGAGGGCACAAATACAGCAGCCCCTGGCTATGTTATGCTCCAAAATTTGAAAGAAAGAATAAGTATTTTCTCGTTATATATCTCTACTCCTCCCTCCAAAAATGATTAATTCAGGTTTTAATAAATATTTCAAGTTTACAGTTTGATTCTTTTGTATTACTTTGTTTTATTTTTTTCAATTTGCTCCTGACCTGAGCACAAATGCAGCCCCTTTCTGGCTGTGCTGTGCTCCAACATATAATATGGATGATAAATATTTTATAGAACCTAGTTTCCCAAAATGAAGATAATTCGACATTTTAAGAAAAAAAAGTTGCTGTTGCTCAGGTTTTTTTATTGAAATTTTGTTGTTTTAAGTAATTTTCCAGCTTTTACCTGCCAGATACATATTCAGCAGCTTTCTGGCTTTGAAGTTTCACGCGAAAATTTTAATGTAGTGTAAAAACAATGAAGTGTTTAAAACTCATACTGCTGATGATTGTAAATGTGTAAATCCTGCTTATTTTCTCTTTATTCCCACCCACATAGATAACAACACAATTTATTTTCTGTTTTCAAAATGCACATAACATATTTTACCAATGTTAAAAATTAGATACATTTCGTATTAATAATGTTAGGCTAAAAATATTCTTGTGCTAAAATAAACTCAACAATTCAAAAAAAAATTTAAACCTAGCATATATCAGTAGTAACACAATTTTTTTTAAAAAATCCCTGAATTTGTTCTATATTTATAGGCCCAACCCAATTACCAGATATTATTGGAATGGAAATACCTTTTTGAAAGTTTCAAAGTCATCTCCATATTATCAAATTTCACTGGCCACCTGCATAATGTGATACAATGAAATTCCAACCAAGCAGAAGAGTTTGACAATCCATCTTGGTTGTTGTAATTAGACTTGACCTATAATTACTGAACAAAACAGCAATAAAAATTTACAGTATACCTTCAAACAAATGTATCTGACTGGATTTGGTGCATTCGTCTCAGTATCTTAGCTTCAAATCTTTAGTTTATAGCATAGGAAAAATTATAGGAGAAACCATATCTGGAACTGAACACAATTCACATGCCTAAAAGGTGGATTCTAACATTAATTCACCGCCATTATTTGTTGTTTGATCACTCACTTCCTCTTGAACAGCTGGAAGGGAAGGCTTTGTGGTCAAAGGTGTTTCAGTCTTAAACAGGGACTCCATTCTGATGTGGGTATTGATGTAGAATGACTTCTGAAAGGACTCAAGGGTGAAGTAATAGATGAAAGGGTCAAAACAACAGTTCAGAGTTGCAAGGCACAAGGTGATTGGGTACATGATCTTTGCAAATCTTTCCAAAAAGCAATTAGTGATAGCTTGGGAGCGCACCAGGGCATATAGGAAGAGGACAGAGTTGTAGGGTACAAAGCACACCACAAAGACTGCCATATGTACTGTGATCATTTTCAGAACTTTTTTCTTATTGGTTCCAATTTGAGACAGAGTAGCAGGCTTGCGAAGAGTTCTCAGCACCACAGAAGAGCAAGAGACATTCAATATCAGAGGAATGATAAACCCAACAACTTCAATAAATATTGTGATCTTGGATAAATAAGTCTTCCAGACACGTTTGGAGAAGCCTTCAAAGCAGGTGGTGGTTGCATTGTTGACATTAGTGGTGGAGAACAAAGAGGCTGAAATACCACCACTGAGGACTAGGATCCAGACACCAGCACACACAATGGCAGAATTCCTCCTAGTCCTAATAGTACGGGATCGGAAGGGATAGACAATGGCCAGGAAACGATCCACACTAATACAGGTGAGAAAGAGCATGCTCCCATAGATGTTGGTAAGGAATGCAGTCCCAGAGATCTTGCAGAGGGTGTCGCCAAATGGCCAGTGGCGGTTGAAGTTGTAAAATATTTTGAAGGGTAGGGTACAGACAAAAAGCAAATCAGAGAGGGCTAAATTGGTGATAAAAATAGCGGTCTCACTTCTCATTTTCATGCGGAAACAGAAGACAAACAGAGAAACACTGTTGGTTATCAGACCCAGGATGAATACAACACTGTAGACAGCACCATTCAGATTATACTTGAAGGAATCATCAACAATGCAAGTATTATTGGCAGTAGCATTGCCCAACCTGGGTCTGAGGCTTGAATTTGAATCTTGGAATTGGAAGTCAATGAATCTTCTGTCACCCATGGACTTTTTTTTCAGGAGGCCTGCTGGCTGCAGGGGTTCACCACTCTGACACTAGGGACCAGTAGAAAATATTTTCCTCCTATCAGAGATAAGATGGAACAAATAATCAAATTTGCCTTCCATCCATGATTTCTGCATAATAAGATATTCTGTCCACCCAGATTGGAAGAAAACATGCACACTCCATTTGGTTTGACAAGTACTTTGTTAAACATCTACCATATATTTAAAGGTACTACAAGAGTATGTTGCAGGAGCAGGAAAGCTCACACTCAATACAGTAAGTGCAATATTATAGCATTGCAATGAACATGGGTAAGGTGTAGGTCACCAAAGAGTCCAAAAATATAAAACTAAGAGTTAAAACAGAATTTATGGGACTGCAAAACCTCTAACAGTAAAAGCCAGGCTTTATTCACTATTATAGGCATGCACTTACCTTCTACAATAAGTACTGCCAGTACATTTATTTTATTTGGAAAATGCATTTATAATAGAAGCCGTTTCCCTTCTGCCCAGAGTCCCTCCAGTCTGCTCACTAGTGGCCCTTTTACGCAGCATGATTCTAGCTCACTTGCTATATACTGTTTTGTGATTCTCAAGTTGATACATTTCAAATAGGTCTCCCGAGTTTTCCATTCAGCTTTTTGATGACTTCAATCATTTTATTTTTTATTTGCATTATGTTTAACTGACAAATCATAATTGTACTACAATTATGCAAGTACAAGGTGATATTTGAATATATGTATGATATTTGAATATATGAGGTAATTATGTCAAGCTAATTAGCATATCCATGCCCTCACTTCAGTTTATGTTCCCAGGAACATATACACTATATCCACAGCAAGCAGTATGCAAATGCCTGCCATTTCTGCTCTGCTGCTCTGAGTAGTCAAACTGTGGGAGAGAAAGCACAGACAAGAAAGGATTACATTCTCAATCCTGAAGAGAGGGCATGGGAAAACTGCCACTATGGCCCTATTCATAGCTCCCCTTGCTTGAACACATACCACCTTTGCCGTCTAGAAGTGAGGGTGTGGTGCTGGGACTTAACACAGCCTTAGAAGCAAGGAGTTCTATTTCTGACTCAGACACTGGTTCACTCTGTAACTTGGCTATACTCTTTCTCTTCCTTGAATAAACTTTACCCCTAAGCCTCACAGCTAAAGCTAGGAAGATTCAGCAGGGCTTATGAATAGCTTTATAAGCTTGCCAGTATTCGGCCCTACCTAACCACAGAGAAATATTATATAAGTTTGTTTCCTTCTCCCTTCCTGAAACAACTGTAAATTTATATCTGTGTCTTTTTTGGTACCCTGAAGTTCACATTAGAAACACACCCTTCTAGTGTCATGTATACCTTGTACCTCAGAAAGACCCCCAACTTGAGTTTCAGCCCTAACTACACAATTTACTCAAACAGGACAATCCAGGAGTGTGCCCCCTAGGTAATATCTCCCATACAGGTATGATTAAAAAATCAGAGAGGCATTTGGCTCTTGAGATGATTCTGAAGAAGAATCAATATTTACCTCTTTTCTTACTGTTTCCTTTCTTTTGACTAAAAGAAACCGTGTTTCTAACTATTAAATCCTCTTCAATAGCCAACATATTGTGCACTAAATGGAGGCAAAGGACCAACACTTGAGCTTCAGATGAGATGAAGAAGGAAAAATATATGCTGATGCAGTTAATTACATCTTCCACTGCAATAAGCATTAAACTACTATCTTCTGTAAAACTCTGCTGCCAATTATTCCAACAATTAATCACCTAAGGGTGTCAGACAGTGTTGGGTAGCTGCATTTTTATTGACACTGGACAGGAAGCAAGTTCCCTGGAGGTTGACCAAAAAGAAATCTGACTCTTAACTTTTAAATTTGATCTACACATGGAGCTAATTCAGAGTGGCCACAATTGTTCCCTTTTTAAATTTCTAATGATAGTAAAATACAGGTATACCAGGTTTGGAGTCTTTAAGTCTCCTGAAAGAAGTAAAGTTAGCCTTTTAGCCCTATAATTTTGAATAATCAAATCACTTCACTTCATGAGGTGCTGAACTTTGACTTCCCAATATCCTAGAAAAGTTGTCTTGCCGAAGGCCTTCTCTGCATCTATTGAGATAATCACTATAATCCTGCACGAGCTGCACATGTACCCCAGAACCTAAAGTACAATTAAAAAAAAAAAGAAAGAAAGGGAGACAGAGACACTTAAAAGAGATGAGATGATTAAACAGACATCTGGAAGAACACTCCAGGCAAATGCAACACCTTGAGCAAGTTGCCTCCACTGGGAATTTGCCTGATGTGTTCAAGGGAAGCCAGTGTGGTTAGTGTAGACTGAACTATGGTGAAAATAGATAAGGAGACAGGAGAAGAGAGGTGGGGAGCAAAGTAGGTAAGACTGTGTTGGCAACTGCATGACTCTTTTTAGGACACTTATTCTTTCTTTTTTCTTTTCATTTACTATATGGTCCTCTTGCAACTAATTCTGTTGTAAATTAGAAGACATTTATCCAATTTTATTCTGCCTGGATGGCTACACATATATCCCAACACCAGTTAATGAATCGTCCATGTTTCCCCACTGATTTGAGGTCTAACTTTGTGATGTATTAAATGTGCATAATTGACCAGACACAGTGGCTGATGCCTGTATCCCAGAACTTTGGGAGGCCAAGAAAGGCCGATCACAAGGTCAGGAGATTGAGACCATCCTGGCCAACATGGTGAAACCCTGTCTCTACTAAAAATACAAATATTAGCTGGGTGTGGTGGCACACACCTTTAGTCCCAGCTACTCGAGAGGCTGAGGCAGGAGAATGGCTTGAACCTGGGAGGCGGAGGTTGCAGTGAGCCGAGATCATGCCACTGCACTCCAGCCTGGCAACAGGGCGAGATTCCATCCCAAAATAAAATCAAAATAAATAAATGTGCATCATTATTTGAGCTATAACTAGATCCCTGCTCCAATGACCTTCTATTCTACCTGTACACACTAATTTCTTTTTGAAGATTTCCTAATTTTTTTAATAATTCAATGTGAACTACAGAATCATCTTCTCTATTTTAAAAAGAAAAGCCAAGTTGTATTTCTATTGCAATACTATTAAATTTATAAATTAACTTTGTAAAATTAATCATTTCGTGATGTGTAATGATGTGCAGTCTTTCTATCACAAAATAGTGTGTTTTCTAATTTTAAGTATTGTTTGTACTTTAAATCATTATTTGTTTTAAAATTCCTTGAAATTGATCTTGTGTATTTATTAAATTTTTTCTATGTACTTTAAAAAAAAAAAAAAAGAAGAAAAGCTAACTTGCTTTTGCTCCCTTCTGAAGACAGTCCAGAACTCAGGAAGATAAGGTCTTGAATGCAGAGTATACTAAAATAGTTTTTGCTTTGCTCCATGAGTGCAGGCCAGGTCAGAGTGCTTCTCATCTCCAGAGCATTTCCTTGTTCGACTCTAGTCAAAGCTAATGAAAGTTGATACAATAGTTTTCAGACGAAGATGAAATCTATTGTGTTCTTGCCTATCGATACTTAGCAGTGAAATAGATTTAAAAATACACAAATGTTGTGAAAAATACAGCTCAAAACAATCCTGCTGGAGCAATAGGGAATACATTCAGACTGTTGCTTCTCAAATTAGTGATTTCTAACAGATAAGACTTCTTAAGGAAATTTTTTAGGTCAGGTCACAGACACAAGTCATAATCATACAGGTTTTATATCAATATTCATATGCATTGGTTGATGCTTCATAATAGTTTTCAAAACAAAACCTAACTTTACGGCATTCCATATGGAGGAAACTGTAGATAAATGTTTCACTCAAGAATGGAGCTAGGAAATTGATCTACATCAATCTCTTTTATTTTTGATACAAGAAACATTCTTTTAAAAGTGGCATATCTATATCTAATCTAGTTTTCACTAAGATTATTAAGGCTGCTTTGTCCCTCCATTTTATTTGAGGACATGGGCCTCAATTTGATAAGATCCTATTCTCAGTGATTAACTTGATATTTTTTTTTTCCTTTCACCAAAAAAGAAAAAAAAAATACTTCAGTCTCTCATTAACACTTCACTTGAAAACGCAGTCCAATCTTTTGGGAGTAATGTGGTCTGGTGCTCAACACGATGGGGCCAAAGATTGCATCAGCCCCACTAATGTGAAATTTTCCCTAGTACTTAGTTACAGAGTAAGACAACTGCAGATAAATTGCTCAACCTAATATTATGAAATTGTCTTGAGTCTTGAGACTCAATATCTCATCTCAGCAGAAGCCACAGATCTTTTGGGACAATATTTGGGTGTTCCCAAAAGAACTCATTTCCAATTTCTGTAAGGGTCATATATGCCAGCCAGGATTTTAGCATTATTCCTTATATTTGAGCAGCCAAATCAGTTGTCAATTTGGACACGAATTCATGTGATATATGCCAACACTGAACCTGATAACAGCAATAAAAAAGTCTCCCATTATCTAAAGGTAAATCCCAATGGCAGAGAGGGGTTGAGCTAAAGAATCAACATTCATCTACATCAAAATTGCCTGAATTACAACAAATTACAGTCCCTCCATTCTTTCTGGGTCTTCAAATCATTTACTCTTTAATAAGTTAGAGCTATTTTTACAACAAAAGTTGGACAATTAAATTAGGAATTTGTAGAGAAAGTTATTATCAGGAGGGTAGGACTCACCACATTAGTTCGAACCAAATGTTGGCACCAATTTTATCTAAGACTGCAATAAACAATTAGCTTCCTGGAGGCACTGTAGTTATAGATTTCCCCCAACGGGTGCTGTGAAATAGAAATAGTCATAATAGTGTGCCATAAAGAGAGCTGATAGATTTTCAACAAAAGGTATACTTTCAATAAAATGATCTTATAAAAGATCATACAATAGAAAAAAGTATTATATGATATAAAGCAGAGTAAATGAGAACCAATAAATTTTAAAATGGTATTTACATGCAGTGGATTTCATTATTACACAATTGCAGGCAACAATGTATTTTCCAACCTGTCACTACTGTGCTATATTTTATTGGTACTACTGGCTAAACACTAAAGTATAATATCCATATGTGATAACCTATAATCATTTAACGATAATAAGTGACAAAAGGCATAAAAATATTTCCCCCACTTCCATAAGGTAATGCATTACATTAAAAATAAGAAAATAAAGGAGAATTTTGTTTTGGCCCGGATTTACGTTGAGTCTTTTTTTTTTTTTTCTTGACCATAGCTGTTACTATTGGGCACGATCCTTAATAAGGGAAGAGGAAAGACAACTGGAATAACAGGTGGAGACGCCACTGTCTTGTCTCTTACCTGCAGCCCACACAATTTCTCTCTCCCCTGAACTACAGTGATATAATCAAGGCTTCAATTACTGGATATTAGCACACTGACTGACAATCACTGCACCTTTACCAGGATGTCCCAGACCTACCCAACATAGCATGTCTGTAACATCTCTAATTCAAACTCTGCTCAAAATATTTGAGTAGAACCAGAATTACTCTGCAATGGAATTCTTACAAATAGCAACTGCGTTTAGACTTTACCCATTACAGTGCCTCTACCCGTAAAGTAGAATTATTTGTTAGCTCCAAACTTACACTATTGTTACATCTCATCCTTTTCTAAACAGAGGTACCTTAAAATAAAGCAAACTGCTAAATAGTATTACAACTCTCCCAAAATGATTTTTCTATAAACTAAAAAACCAAAATAAACAAATAAAATGATTAGATAATTTAAGATATATTGAGATCACCTTAATATTAAGGAGAGTTGATTTTCACACTCCTCCAGGGATCTGTATTCCTGGAATGAAATGAATATTATTTTATTGTTTATCTTAAAGGAAGATAGAAGCATTAACATTTCTCCATTTTATGCCTTTCACAGTTGATAAATATTATATAGAAAACCTTTTATTCAAACTTCAAGCAAACTGGGAAGTTCAAATACCCAGAATTTTTTATAGTTGATATTAATTAAGTGTAAACACACCCAGCCCCATCACGAGCTCTGTGAGAGTAAGTCACAGTCCATTTCTGAGTCTCAGTTTCTCTTCTCCTTTAATCTTTAGTCTTGACTGACAGAAAAGCAACCTTCAAAGAGTGTCATGCTGGTGGCCTTACTAGCTGTTCTTTTCCACCATTTATTTTCACCTGCTTACATTCACCACTGTAAAACATTTTTTATTTCCTCAATGTCTGTAAGGATAGCCTTTCATTTTTATTAGACTTAATTAAATGATTTCTAAATTTATTTAAAAATTAGAAATAAATAGTATTAACACCAGAAGCTACGAATCACAGAGAAAGATGCCACTAATATCCTAAAGTCTTCCAAATTCCCATACTTTCCTCATCCTCTGTCCTGCTCTCTTCAGCCGGCATATCAACTCTAATTGTTTAGTCTCAGTCTTCAACCCTTCCCACCTGTTTACTGGTCACTTCAGCCTTCAGAATATGAGGTTAGCAGCATACTTCAGGACTTAGCCATGTAGATTCATTAGATCATTTACCCTTTGCATTTTTCTGATAACTGATTATTTATCCACTTAAAGTAAGGCTGGATTCCCAGTGGTAGGTAACCTTTCATCAGGCTCCCAATCTCCAATATTCACAAACAAATTACAGGTTTTTTTCTTCCCCCATCAAGAAGGCCAAGGGCAGACTATATATGATGGCCATATACACAGACAAAAGACAAGTGCACAATTAGGCGCTGACCAAACCACAGCAAGGGCAACAATTCTCACTGCATTTTCTCACAAAGGCAATTGAATAGATCAAGCTTTAGCTAAGCTTGGCCTGAGTGTTGCTGTGAGGCATCTTCTAGGTTCTCCCTTTAACTTTCAGGGAGCACACATTCTGAAAGACCGGCCTGATTGTTCCAATAAGGCTTCATTCCCATCTCTAATTGGCAGGAGATGCTTCAGAATGTAGATGCCATCAAGTTTATCAGGTGAACTCATCCTTCTTGGCAAAAGTGTAACTTTTCATCTGTGACAAGGCAAAAGATTTTATAATCTATGTTGATGAGTTATGATGTTTGGAATTTTGTTCTGAAAAATAAACGTGTTGTAAAGCCATTGGATAATTTGAATCTCAGGTTATTATTATTGTCTTCATGTTAGTCAAGAAAAAGAAAGATGCTATAATTTGGTAAGTTAGCAAAGTGAATAACCTCACCAAGCTCTGAAATGCACTATTTAATTTGTCTGGTCTTTTCCACGCTGAAATAATGATAAATTACATTGCTGAATTTCCTTTTAAAAAGTAACTGAAATACAGTATTTATAACTCAGCAAGATCTTTTTTACTGAAAATACTTAAAATATACAACAAGAGAATTTAAAGATGTCACACTGATGCATTCGTATGGCAAACAGCAATTAATTTTACATGTAATAGCAAATTCGGTTTATGACAGAATTAGTTTTTCATTCAAACATGATTCTTCCTTTATGGGCAAGTTCATGAATTATTCAATATAGCAAATGTCACATTCTCCATAAATCATTTAAGCATCAAAGACATGACATGTAAAGTTTTACTAGAAGAAACCTCATCATAATACAAGCCACGTTAGCTCACAATAAATTGTAAACCAAAGAAATACAAAGCAAGCCAACATACTTTCTAAATTGTTCCACACTGTGATTTTAAATTAGCTCTTTAGAACAACTGCGTTTACGTGAAACAGCAGCCTGAAAATCCTGTATCTCTTTCACAGAAACAATATTATTGCCAAAACAATGGAAATTCTCGTTTTTTACCATTCAACACGAAGATCCTTGTTCAGTACTTCAGAGTTGAAGTCTCACTTCTTTCCTTAAACTCTCAAAGCATCAGTGTTTCCACTGTAGTTATGCTATTCCCCCACCCCCAAACGCCAAAATCAAATCTTTCTCAAAGAGAAACTTACCCCAAGAAAGAGTGTGCTAGATGAGAGAATGTGCTGATGCCTGTAGATAAGTAGCTAATAAACATGTAAATGGGCAACTCGCCCTTTGGAAATGCATATTTTTATCCATTTTTTTTTTCTCAGGGAAAGGTTAGCCCAGTCTAAAGTAGCAGACTCTGGGCTGCCGCAGCTTCTTACTGCAAACCGCTCATTCTGAAAATGTGAGCTTATTTACATTTATCTCTTTCCCTTTGTTATCGACCGGCTCTCTCGAATGCTGTAGCCCGCATGCCTTTAGCAAACAGGACACAAAAAGGCCTGAAGTCCGAGCTGGAGCTGGAGCTGGAGCTGGAGCCGAGGCCCAGGGGAACTCTTGGGGGTCTCAATAGGAAATGCTTTTCATTGGATAAGGAGGCATTATTAGGAGTCTAGATCCCGCCCAATCCCCTGTGCTCCATCGTTCCCTTAGTCACCAGTCACTGGACTGAAAAAGTTTTTCCTTAAAGAGCATTGCCCAGGAAAAGCAGTTTCACAGTCAAGAATTAATAGCTTAAGTGCCACTTGACAATATAAAAAGTGTCTTTCCTGACCAATTATTCCACAGAGAAAGCCTGTGTGCCGTCTTTGCTGCAAGACTGCAGAGGAGGAGACAAACCTTCAAACTAGGAGGAGTGTTTCAATTATGCATAACATGTTCGCTCCTACTTGTTTAAAATAATTACACCAATAATATTGAAAATAATAAGTAGGGGGCAAGGAAAAGGCAAAAATGAAAGGTACCATAAATATATTCCTATCACACTGCAAAATTCAAACTCCCACCATAACAAAAATATAAAGTAAAATTCAATACTATGCTCACTTAAGCCAGATACGTGCTCTCAGATAGAGATGTACTAGGGTCCCAGAGCTCCTGACACTCACCTTCCAAGGACTAGGGAGTGTTTTGTAGCAAAAGGAGGGTCTGCACTTCTTAAATAACTCTTAAATAACTGCCTCACAGTAAATCTAATTACCATGAAAATTTCAGAGTTCTGCTAAAAAAAAACAAAATAAGTAGTACAGATGCAATCTGTTTATAATAGAGAGTTATCTGCAATTGTTTACCTCCTCCTACTTCCCTCATGGCAAGTTTTTCTTTTCTAATTTTCTACAGGTTTACTGCCTTGGTCACTCACACTTTTTTTTTCCTCCCTATATTTTCCTCTTCCCCTCCCTCTTCTTGATCTGATTTTGTGGCAGAAACCCACTCATCCATCTGTAACTTCATTGTTGGCCCTTCCCCTCTGCCAGCCCGCCCCTGCAAGCCTTCACTACTCTATCTCCACCCACTGCCAACACCAACAACAACAGCAGCCCCTCCCCCCTCTCTGGAATGAAATTCTCTGACCAGGGATAAGGTGCTTTCTTTCTCTTGTCAGAGCAGAGCCCCTGGAGTCTTGGGGGATCCTCTATCTGCTTCAGAACTTCAGTTTGAGTAATTAAGCTGCCTCCCAAGTAGGACATGTTTTAAGCTTGTTTATTTCCCTATTTCTTCAGTTCTATTGTGGTTGCTCTCACTAACAGTGAAGGCCAGTAAACAAGTTAATGTGAAGCTGACACTAGCCCTCTTATTTCTGACTGTCTCTAAAATAAAACCACTTTCTCTGTTGCTTCCTCTTCTCCATTCCACCCCCAACCTCCGTTCTTTTTATTCCTCTCTCTGTTTATCTCAAATATGTCTATTTCTGTCAGTTGCTGACATTGTCTGTGTCTTTATAAATGGTCTTTTATCAACTCTCATCCTACACCAGCACTTGGTGCATTTGTCAGTCCACAGGAGAAAGATACAATCTCTGACCTGTAGTATGCCACAGTCTAGGTAGGGACACAAGGACATATGAAAAAAAGTGGGATACCAAAGGAAAATTTTGAAAAAAAAGGCAGTTATTTGGAGATTGAGTTCTGTAATAGATCAGTGGATGGAGATGAAGTCCCACAGATAGGGCCAGGAGGGTTTCCTAGAAAAAGTAGCATTTGTGCTACATCGGGATGGATGATTCAGTATTAAATAAACCAGGAATGGAAGAGGATATTTTTCTAGATGACCAGAACCAAGTGATCAAATGCAGAAGATGTGAAGTGAGAGTAGCTGAGAAAAAGACCAGTTTGTAAAGGGAAAATAAGGGTAAGGAGAAAAGCCTTTGGGAGCAGTACTTTATTGTAGCAACTGAATGTACTGTAGTGATAGAAGGGTTAACTTATAGTCATGATCACTGCCTGTCTATATGATCAGCTCACTACCTTTCTCCTCTTAGAGTTAATACCCATCAGTCTTCCAATTCTTCTGTCTTCATTTCTCCCTCAAAGACACAAGTACTTTTCTGATTAATCTTAACAATGTAGCAGATCTTTTGCAATGCCACTGGGTCACATGCTCTTTTAGCATCAGTCTTCCTCCCTTCCCCTGAGTTTTAGCCTCATTGATCCTCTGCAGCCCCTAGAATGAGAGAGGATTTCTCATACCACAGATATTTCTAAGTGCTATTTCCTCTGCCTGGAACACTCTCCTCCCTCCCTAATCTTCCTTTCACCAATTTAATTCTTATTCCTCCTTCAAATCCTATCCCAATAATCATGACTTCAGGGAATCCTTCCTTAACCCCTAGTTTAGGTCATATACACACACTGTATGTCCTACAGCATCATGGACCTTTCATGTATTACATTTTTTACTGGTATATTTTACATACTGTTGTGTAATTTGTTTGTGTGACAATTTTATTAACATTGAGCTCTCCCAACTGTAAACTCCAAGAGGATAGGATTCATATCTGCTTAATCCAAAATTGATAGTGGTGTGGGCAAAAATTATTCTCCCTGACCTTCTGTTTTATGAACCAAAGCAACAACTAGACTGTTTTTACTTACCAGCTGAAAATACGTATCATTTTGCCAATTTTTAAACAAATTTACATCAAGATGTTATTTTAGGCCAAAGAATACACACAGATAAAGAAAAAAAATCCCATTAACAACAAAGTACTAAGGTTTATCCACTACAATATCCTTTTCCTTTACCTCACTTATTGCTGCAAACCTTAGAGTTTTGCTTGCTCCAAAATTTGTAAGGTGGAAGGGGGAAAACAAAGTTTTCCCAGGGCTCTTTTCAATCAGCCAATTTATATATGTAAAACGTAAATCAAAATGTCCTTTTTTAAAAAAAGACATTCATTGAGTTGTTGATGTCCATGCTACTGGGGGAGGAAATGAATATGCAGCTTAAAAAGTACATTCAGAACTCTCTGGGGGAATATGCACTTCATTTTTTATCTGTTTGAAAAGAAAGTAACTGAAATATAACTAACTTTCAACTGGAAATATAAACATTTGATTAAGAACAGCCGGTTGGGAGCTTCACACTTCAAACCCAAATCAATTTTTTTTTCTGCCAACAATATCAAAGGACTGGGTGAAATCACCCATAGTGCAAGTGATTCAGCACTATGCTAGGTTCCCTAGAAACAGTATAAATGTAACCAAAGGATTTTAACCATGCCTATATGGGTCCAGCTAACAGTTTTGGTAATTTTGACCGTCTTTAAATGAACACAGTACCTGGACCTTGTTCTAGGAAAAGGGAGCCAGTTAATTACTGACTTTGTATTAATTAGTGGATGTCTTTTTTTCATCTGAGACAGGGTCTCATTCTGTTGCCCAGGCTGGAGTGCAGTGGTGCGATACCTGCTCACTGCAACCCCTAATTAGCAGATGTATTGAAGTCTTTCAGGAAACAAAGAAAGGCAAAATCCTGGATCCTGCATTCATTTCTTTTTTTATACAATCTTCTTTCGCTTCAATGGAAAAAAAAAAAAAAAAAGGATCACATGGCCAGGTACCCAATCAGCTAATTTAGGACACTAGATCTCTGAAAGGGCATAACATTTATTTTCAAGCAAATTCCCTAGAAAATTTTTAGTGCATCCTTCACACTGGATTACATTTACTTCCTAGTGTTTTATCAAACAAATGAGCTTTCCTTCTCACTAACTGAATCAGCTTAGAAAACAAGTTTTCATTGCTAGAAGTGGAGCTGGTATTAACAGAAAAATAAGCTTTTTTTTGTTATTGTACTTTAGATTCTGGGGTACATGTGCAGATCATGCAGGATTGTTGCATAGACACATTCATGGCAAGGTGGTTTGCTGCCTCCATCCCCCCATAACCTATACTTGGCATTTCTCCCCATGTTATCCCTCCCCACCCTCCCCCAAATTGTCACTCCCCTAGCCCCCCGAACAGACCCCAGGGTATGATGCTTCCCTCTCTGTGTCCATGTGTTCTCATTGTTCAACACCCACCTATGAGTGAGAACATGCAGTGTTTGAGTTTCTGTTCTTGTGTCATGAGAATGATGGTTTCCAGGTTCATCCATGTGCCTACAAAGAACACTAACTCATCACTTTTTATGGCTGCATAGTATTCCATGGTGTATATGTGCCACATTTTCTTTGTCCAGTCTATCATTGATGGGCATTTGGGTTGGTTCCAGGTCTTTGCTATTGTAAACAGTGGCATGATGAACATACATGTGCATGTGTCTTTATAATAGTATGCTTTATAGTCCTACCCAGTAATGGGATTGCTGGGTCAAATGGAATTTCTATTTCTAGGTCCTTGAGGAATTGCCACACTGCCTTCCACAATGGTTAAACTAATTTACACTCCCACCAACAGTGTAAAATTGTTTCTATTTCTCCACATCCTCTACAGCATCTGTTGTCTCCAGATTTTTTAATGATCGCCATTCTAGCTGGCATGAGGTGGTATCTCAATGTGGTTTTGATTTGCATTTCTCTAATGACCAGTGATGATGAGCATTTTTTCATATCTTTGTTGCCTTCATATATGTCTTCTTTTGAAAAGTGTCTGTTCATATCCTTTGCCCACTTTTTGATGTGTTTGTTTGTTTGTTTGTTTTCTTGTAAATCTGTGTTAGTTCTGTGACGATATTGGACATAAGACTTTTGTCAGAGGGGTAGATTGCAAAATTTTTTTTTCCCAATCTGCTGATTGCCAGTTTGCTTTAATGATTGTTTCTTTTGCTGTACAGAAGCTCTGAAGTTTAATTAGACCCCATTTGTTTTGTTGCCATTGCTATTTATGTTTTAGTCATGAAGTCCTTACCTATGCCTGTCCTGAATGGTTTTGCCTAGGTGTTCTTCTAGGGTTTTTATGGTTTAAGTCTTATGTTTAAGTCCTTAATCCATCTGGAGTTAATTTTAGTGTAAGGTGTCCAGTTTCTGCTTTCTGCATATGGCTAGCCAGTTATCCCAACACCATTTATTAAACAGGGGATCCTTTCCCCATTGCTTTTTTTTTGTCAGGTTTG